GTGATGTCATGTGGTAATACAGGAAGTACTCCACTGTGTTTTTAAACTCCACACACCTTCAATGGAATCACTTGGATCATTTTAGAACTGGAATTGCTGATCTCTACTGAACTAAAGGTGGCTGTTAACTTGAAAATCATTACTACATGACATCACAAGGTAAAACAGAGCATTTTGAGTTTTGGAAATGTAGACAGACTAATCATAAAGGATTACTCCAACATGTGTGACTGAAACAAAACACAAAAAACAAAACACAACTCCAGGTTTGTTTTTGAGGCTAAAAGCTGACAGGAGTCCATTTTGCGTAATACAGGACCTTTTACTCGCTCCCGCCTCCTTTCTCCTGTGTCTCATATAAATGGTTATAATCTAAATAAAATCGTTGACAAGTAAAAATGTAGATGAACGGACTGAAGGCTTCATAAAGAGCACATGGCATTTCTCATGCAGCGTGTGGACGGGCTCCTCACATGTTTCTTTGATGACTCAGTGGTCAGAACAGCTGTGCTCCAAACACCAAACAGTTGTTACTTCAAAAACTCCACCAACTGTGACCACCCATCCTCTCACCCACCCCCACCCAAGGGAGAAACACGCGCATACACACACATACCATGAGCGCAATGTTTGTACCGGCACCAAGCTTTAGAACACCGGTGAACCATAAAACCAAATGAGAGAGAGAGACAGGGGTGAAAGAGGGGAGAGATGAAAGGAAGAGAGGGGGAGAGGAGGGGGCTAGTGAGGAGAGAGAGAGGAAGAGGGAAGAGGGAGATGGAGAGAAAAGGGGAAAGGGAGAGGAGAGGGGGATAGGAGGGACAGAGGGAGAGAGAGCGACAGAGAGAGGGGAGAGGAATGAGGAGAGCGAGAGAGAAGAGAGGGAGAGGAAGGGGAGAAGGAGGAACAGAAGAAGAGAGAGAGAGGGACGGAGAGGGGGAAGAGAGAGAAAGATGGAAGGAGAGAGAAAGGGGAGACAGATAGTGGGAAAGGAGAGGATGGAGAGAGAGAAAGGAGAGAGGGGGGAGCAAGAGAGTGAGAAAGGGGGAGAAGGAGAGAAGATGGAGGGAGAGAAAGGGGGAGGGGGAGTGAGAGAGTGTGAAAGGAGGGAGAGAAGTAAGAGAGCGAGGTGGGGAGGAAGGGGGGGTTCAGCATTTGTGGTAAAGTGAAACAATTGTCCTGGTTGGGACCTGGTTTAATCCTGGTTTAGTCCTGATATAGACTTGGCTTGGTCCTGGTCTAGTCCAGATTAATGAGAAGTCATGTAGTCATCATCATCATCATCATCATCATCTGACATTACAAAACAACAAACATTTACATTTTTAAAAGACAACCTCACCAGTGCCTCCACATATAGATGCATCATGAATTTCGGACTTCCGCTTATTGTGCAGTGCATACTGGGAAGGATTTTCTGAAAAAGTGAGCATCAAACCGCCATGTTTGTTTTCCCAGTGGGATCCGTCTATGGACAAAGTCAGTCTTTTCTAGTCTTTTGAACCATATCACTTTTGTTTCTGGTTCTGATATTGTCATATTTTAGTTTTGGGATTCGGACATTGTAATTATGTGTTTGTTGGATCCTAACAGCGGAAAACAGCTCGAGAAATTTGTTTGCGAACTTCATAAATGCAAAAGGGAATCAGATGTGTGTGACTACAAACCTCCGGATGCCTCCTGGACACGTCCCTCGGGTGGTGTTCTGGGCATGTCTCACCGGGAGGAGGCCCCGGGGAAGACCCAGGACATGCTGGAGGGACTATATGTCTCTCGGCTGGCCTGGGAACGCCTCGGGGTTCCCCCGGAGGAGCTGGAGGACATGTCTGGGGTGAAGGAAGTCTGGGAGTCCCTGCTTAGACTGCTGCCCCCGCGACCTGACCCCGGATAAGCGGACGAAAATGGATGGATGGATGGGTGACTGCAAACCTCCGTTCAAACTGTTTCCCTTCCCAACGGAATTGAAAAATAGTGAAAGGTGAAGGTGATGGGCAGGATTGATCCACAGGAAAGATGAAAAAAGAAACCTTTGACTGCCTAAATCATCCCGAGTTTGCAGTGAACATTTCGTATGTGGAGCGCCACAAAGCAAAATTCTGATCCCTCGCTCAACCTTGGTTACGAAAGTCAACGCCAAAGTGAAAGACACCAGCTTTTTGCCAAGAAACACCTTCCACTGCAAAGAGACCAAGACGAGATGTTGCTGTACAGTCACTTGAACAAAAAGTGTGAGCTCAGTCTGTTTGTCTTCTGTATCTCTCGCTTAACAAACGGGATCCCGCTTTGTTGTTGCTCCACATACAAAATGTTCGCTGCAAACTCGGGATGATTTAGACAGTCAAAGGTTTCCTTTTTTGTCTTTCCTGTGGATCAATCCTGCCCATCGCCTTCGACTTTCACTATTTTTCAATTCCGTTGGGAAGGGAAACAGTTTGAACAGAGGTTTGCAGTCACACACATCTGATTCCCTTTTGCATTTATGGAGTTCGCGAACAAATTTCTTGAGCCGTTTTCCACTGTTAGGATCCAACAACCACACAATTACGATGTCTGAATCTCAAAACAAAAATATGACAATATCAGAACCAGAAACAAAAGCGATATGGTTCAAAAGACTAGAAAAGACTCGACTTTGACAATAAACCCATCCCACTGGGAAAACAAACATGACGGTTTGATGCTCACTTTTCGGAAAATTCTTCCCAGTATGCAATGCGCAATGACCGGAAGTCTGAAATTCATGATGCATGTATACTCAGGATACTCAGGAATAAACTCTGTACTCAAAACTGGTACCGATACCACAATGATAATAAAAACATTCATTATTTAGACAATAGAATGTGATTTTCAACATTAAATGGTAGTACTTTCTTTTCTATTCCCATGTGGTGTTATATGTGTGTAATCCCTCAAAGGTCCAGGCAGGATCCATAGTGGTCCATGCATGTACACTAGTCTATGTGCTCTTCTACTTGTTCTGATACAGCTCAAGATCATTGTAAAGACATTCAGGAAAGCTTCATTTCAATATCGATATATGCCCAAATGAGAATCTAGTTTCGATACTCATTTTAGTATCTGATTTTTTATACTTTTGACAACCCTAATGTGAGTGATCTAGTTTCTTTTTGATAGTTCGTACCTGTGCAGGTTTTGACAAGAAACAAAATTCCATTTGACAAAAATCCAAAATTCCATAGATTCACTGACACGTGTCACCAGGTGTTTTCAAACTTGTCTTGAGCTGTAAACACACTCCAGAGTCAGATCTAACTGCTGGGTTGTCAGATTATTAGTTATCTGATTCTGACCGGCTCTTTAATCTACACATAAACTTATTGATACTTTACAACTGATGTCCTTCCCTGGGCATGTGATGTAACTGTAGGCACTGCTCTGTCTGAAGCAATTGGGCTTTAATCTCAGTTTGTTTTAACACAATCTGACCAGAAAGACCTGATTTGTGTCTCTCTTAAATAACATTACAGTTAATATCCAGCTGGCATTAGTAAGTAGTTTTCCAGTTAGTCACTTTCACCTTTTTGTTGAAAATCAAACTCTTAAACAGGATCATGAACGTTCCTATAGATGACAAGCCCCTGAAAATATGTTGTGTGAATTCATTTTGTATTTTTCTTGAGTTTTCAGACAATCTTTAAACTTTTTTGCCAGGGTTTACAAAAGTGTGCATTGTGCCACCATAACTGCTCAACATTCCACCATAGAAGTACATGCAGAACAACCCAGCATGAAGTTGCTGGAAAGTATCAGTAGTGTTTAGTTGCGAGATATGCATTATCTTCTCTGGTTAAAGGGCCCATATTATATTATTCTATACTCTTTAAGTGTTGAACATCATAAGTTTATAATGGGACTGAAAAATCATTTTAAAAGTAAGTATCATGAAAACTACTAAGTACTACTACTACTACTACTACTACTACTACTGCAGTGATGATGTTGATGTTGCTCTACCAGGTCCTTAAACCCTGCATAAGAAGCCTTCCTCTTTAAATTTTTGGTACCAAGTCCAAATTAGTTTGCCAGTTGGTGATGTTTTTCCAGATTTGACACTGAAGGCACACTGCACACTCTTGAGTGACTGTGAGCGAGCAGATTCCATGACACATAATTACTCCTCTCTGTCAGTGAACGGCATGGCTCAACCTGAAAACAAAACAAAAATAAAACAATAACAACAATAGTTATAAAATCTTGATCTGTTTCTAAACATTCTGAGAAAATTTGAGGTTATTTCAACAAGAATTGCCAAAATGATTAGTCTGCGAGAGGATGTGACATTTTTTGGGACACTGTGTTTATAAGACATGCTGTTGACCAGGGGACAATTATTTTTTTCCATGGGGCCACATGAGAAACAGAAAATATTGTGGAGAGCTGGGCCAAAATGCTTAACTCAATTCTGCTTAATATTCATTGTATTTCTTTATCAAAAGCAGTAAATATCATTGTTTTGACAATCTGGTAAGAATTTGTTATGACTAAGCAATGAAAAAGTGAGGTTACCTTACAAAAATGCCATTAAAAAAAACATCTCTAAAATAAAATTAATGCAGCTTTAGTCCATGCATGAGGTAAAATGATAAAATGTGTTTATTTTGTTATTCCAAATGAGCTTAAAGGGGCTGTTCAGAGGCAACCAAAGCGCTGTACGTGGCCTGGGAGCTGTACAATGCCCAAGTCTGCTGTAGACACACTAATAATAAAGTGTTACTCAAACGTGTGCATGAAACAAAACACAAGTCCAGGTCTGTTTTTGATGTTTTAAAGCTCACAAGAGTCTATTTTGTGTAATATTGGACCTTTAATTACAATTACAACCTGCTCTCCCTCCCTCTCCTCTGTTGGTCACGTGTTAATTGGATGTTTAATTGTTTTGCTCGTGTTGATGATACAATAGTCCGGTGTAACGTGCTCACTCCCGCCCCCCAGCGCCTGTCCCGGGCGCAGCAGTAACGGCATTGGCATCGTGGAGGGAGGCGAGCGAAGAAGCGTGCGCGCACCGCTACTGGCTCCGCGTCCGCTCTCCAAATCTCGTCTTTTCTCCTCCGACCTCCTCCTCTTCTTCCTCCACCCTCCTCCTCCTCCTTCTCCCCCCCCCGCCTCAACGCTTCTCCCGGACCCGAGCTATGCGCACTGGACCGCGGCTGTCCAACGCGCCGACCACCGCTCCCTCCACCACCGCCACCACCGCCGCCACCGTCAGCTGCCGCCTGCAACCCCGAGCCCACGCACTCGCCAAGCCGGCTGACGAGCGCTCCGGGCCGGCCACAGCAGCGTCACTGTCCGCTGCTCGTCTGGCGCTCTCCGGAGGACTACATTTTATAACGAGGTGAATTATTTTAGATTTCTCCATTACGCTTAGACATTTATCATGCACAGAAGCTCGTACGCGACTCACGGATCTATATCTTGAATGCCACGGTCCCGCTGACTATAATTTAAAGCCATTTGCGATAGTTGGATAGATAATATTGATGGTTTTAGCCAATGCACTGTACATCGATACGAGGGAGTGAATGGTGAATTTGCGAGCGGGCGCGGAGGAGGACGGATCGGCAGCCTGTTGTGCATGAACCCGCTTTAAATCTGAAATTAAAGCGTAAAATTTCCCAAATTTCCAAAATCCACCCGGAATTAGAAACGTCTTCATTACGAAAAACGTGCCGAAGTTTGTTGTCATACGTGGAAGAAGTGATATTATTGGAATTTGACGCTTTTTTTTAAATAACCAAAACGTGTCCGTACCGTAATCAAGGAAACGTCCACACGCACAGACAAGCGTAGACTTTTCACATTGTAACGGTTTAGATCTGGTACTACATTGAATTACGGTGTTTTTATACGTATATCCTGGAGTGAATGCAGAGAATAATATTATATTTTTTCCAATAACTTAAACTTTATTGTGAAATTCATAACAAAAATAGAAACGTCTGAAAAAACGGGGTAAAATTAAGTGTGAAATAGTCCTAAAACATTTCATATCATTAAGACAGGGCTATTATTGCATTGAAAATCTCTTTACAGTGTGCATCTTGTAGGATAGTAGTTGACATATTTTGAAGTAGTAGGCTAGTAGTAGTAGTAGTTGTAGCTGTAGGAGTAGTAGGAGTAGACTTAAGCAAACGTTATTGATCCACAAGGGACATTACTTGGAGTCAGTAGCTCACGTATCACAATATATTATAATAAAACACTCAAAATATAATTGAAAATAATAAATTCTAAATAAGTTGCAAAAATAACAAAAGACTGGGGACAGATATGGCAGAATTACATAAACGTAGAACATGTACAAGTAACTTAGAACTCCTAAATGCTCTTAATGTACTTTTAAAATGTTGCTTATTTATTAGTGTTGTTCTGGGCCTTGAACAAATTTCGTTCTGTCGTGCGTTTCTCTCGTGTGCTTCAATGACAAATAAAGAACCTTGAATTTTGAACCTTGAAGTAAAAGTAAAAATACAAATAGCCTATAGCTCAGTTCTATACACAAGATCGTGAGGAGAAACGGTGCAAAGATGAAAATAGTGACAGAAAGTTATTTATTACTTAAGGGTAAGCAGTAGTAGTAGTGGTGAAAAAAGTGCTCGATGCTGTTACAAATTGCAAATTTATAACATCAAAAAATCAACTGAAGTAAAAGTATTAAAGTACCTGTTTAAAAATGTACTTAAAGAGTAACAAGTAAAACTATTTCACACAAATTTTCAGATCTTATAAAGCTTCAAATGTAGTAACTCTTCCTTGCAGTTTTTATTTCTATATTTTGTTTGCTCTAACTACAAATGTGTTAAAAATAAACCCTCAGCCTTCTCAAACTATCATAAAAAAATACTTTTACATTTTTAATCCAGTTCAAAAATGTAGTGGAGTAGAAAGTACACATACTTGCACTCAAATTTAGTAAAGTAAAATAGTATAAAAAGTATCCAATTTGTGTTGTATTGTTGTATTGTACTTAAGTAAAGTAAAGTAAAGTACAGATACCTAAAATGTATACTTAAATACAGTACTTTTACCTTACGTTCTGCCACTGAGTAGTAATTTTCTGGTGTTATCTGGTGATTATTGTACATACTTTTTGCAGTAGAAGCAACTTTTCATTAAACAATATCTGAACTTTGAACTGAATCCTATTGTTAAAACATATAATTTATTATATTTTAAGCTGCACAAGTTCCACAGATCTAACTTGTAATTTGGCTCGCAAGTCTCCATGGAGATTCTTAAGTTCATGGTCATACTGGGGAACATTTTCGGCACATCACCGCGGCGTCTCCGAGTTTTACAGCGCACCTTTAAGTTCATATTTTAGTCTTTTGTGTAACTGATTTAGAGTTATCCTGTCAATGAGTTTCAGTATTAGAATTTCTCATCTTTTATTTTCTTTAGCAATATTTGGCGGTTCAGAATCTGTTATCGTGACAGGTCTAGTCCCCAGTGTGAGAAACATGTGATCGAGAATGTCCCTGATTATGAGTGAATGAGGGGCTAGTGTTAGGATGACTCTGCTCCATTGTTTTGAGTGGACAATGGACTATAGTCGCTTGTTTGGGTCTGGACGTATCACATATACAGAGACAGAGACATGCACTACCAGTCAAAACTTTACACTCCCCCTTTCTTCTTCATTCAGTGTTGTTTTTGCTTTAAGACATCAGATATATGAAGCAAGATACATGGAATTATGCAGTAAGGCAAAAAAAAGTTAAAAGGCGCATATTCCGCTGTTTTCTGATCTATGTTCTAATGTTGTTTCCTCATCGCAAACAGACCCGGAGTCGTGTTTTGTTTCATTCACACGTTTAACTCACACATCCTGCATATTTACTCTGAGTTTGTCTCTGCTTCTCTGCTCCACTGTCTTTTTAAACTCCATACACCTTCACAAGAATGATTTGGATGATTGATTTCAGACTATCTTTTTATTAATGCAAGGAAAGTGTGCGTGTGTTTGCTTGTTTGTTTAACTCTCGAACCACTCACCCGACTGATCTTAAATTTGGAGGGCGTCGTCCTAATGGTGCGGGTGTGTGCAGTGCCAAGTTTCATGTTGTTAGGGCGAAAAATGCCAAAGATCTGGTCTTCAAAACAAAAGCAAAAGGTAGCAGTTAACTTGAAAACTGCCGCTTCATGACATCACAAGGTGGAACAGAGCATTTTGAGCTTTGGAGATGAAGACAGACCAATAATAAATGATTACTCAAACATGTGTGAATGAAACAAAACACAACTCCTGGTAAGTTTTTGAGGAGGTAACAACATTTTAACATGACTTAAAGCTCACAAGAGTCAATTTTGCGCACATTTAACTTTTTTTGCGCACATTTAACTTTTTTTGTTGGCTACATAATTCCATATATCTTGCTTCATATATGTGATTTCTTGTGTATGTATATAAAATATAGAAAGTAGTAAAAAAAATAAAGAAAAAATATTGAATAAGAAAGTGTTTCCAAACTTCTGGTGTGAAACATTGGAAATAAGTAGGAGCGTTAGAGACTCCAGGAGCGTTAAAGCTGCACTTTGTAACTTTTCTCTTTGCTTTTCTCCATGGATATGTTATTACTTAGCCTAGAATATTCCAGAGTGAAGCATTCAAACTTATTTATATCTCCACCAAGCCAAGTTACAGATTAGATCTATACAAAGTAGGGCTGTCAAAAGTATTGAAAATAAGATACTAAAACTAATATCAAAACTACTACTGTTGATACTAAACTACACATTCACAGGAAAAATGTGGGCTTTCAGTTTGAGTTTGATTTCGAGCTTTGTCAGAACGAATATATGACCTCATGGGAAGATAAATTGTATGTTACGTGAAATGTATTGTTTTAAAATTACATCCTTTTACGGAAATATTTGCAATTTTATCTTCATTGTGGTATCGTAATCAGTATTGAGTATGGAGTGTCTCACAGTTTTTCAAAGTTATTTTTTCAGCAATAAAAAACCCTGTAATTGAATAGACGCCAGATGAGACAATTTTAATGCTATACTGTGGAATATTTCAGGAAAAGCTATTTGATCTCCATGGAGACGAGCAGATGCTAGAACCTCCAACAGATAAGTGACATAGTGCACCTTACAACCTTAACCACATCCAAGAATCTCACGTATCTCAGAACAGGGAGGGCATCTGACACACAGGGAGGGCATCTGACACACAGGGAGGGCATCTGACACACAGGGAGGGCATCTGACACACAGGGAGGGCATCTGACACACAGGTGCCTTTCAGAATGTGCTTGTAGATGTCTAAACTGGGCTAGCAGCTTTCACACAGAGTAAAAAGACAGCGTATAACTCAAACTTAAGTCACTCAAAGAATATATAAAATCAAACCAATTGTAATTGTAAATGCAGTTTTTACAGTGCAGCATCAAAGAAGAAAGAAAAATAAAGTATAAGCAGGAAGTTGGGTGTTTTTCAGACAAATACAGGAAGAATAAAAGAGGACGTGAAATTACAGAAGTGTTAGAGGCACAGCAACAGATCAGTCTATTTAGCACAACGAGAACCGAAACTTAAATACAATTTTAAAAATACATACAAACAATTTTCAAATAGACTGCGTACTTGTGGAAAAATGTGTGGTTTTTTTCATGTATTAGTGTATTTTTGTGTAGGCTACTACTATGTTGACTTATTGTTCAGTATGTGAAAGATGGAATGATATTTTTGGGGTCAGTTTTAGGCTGTTGTGTGTACTTTTTCTTTGTAGTACTGGGAAATTTTTTAGTTTTTTTTTTTTTTCTCAGTACGATAAAACTAACTTCTTCTGTGAGTCATATTCTGCGGTTTATTTATTGCAGCTTGTGAGTGTAGATTTAGAATACTTCTACTTACTTCAGCAAATACTTCAGGATGTAACGTCATCGACATCACTCGATACAATATTTTCACGATATGTATCTCACCGTACGATATGTATTGCAGTATTTTGTGGAGACTAACAAAACTTTGAATATGCTACTTTTTGTCATGATTGAAGTAATTAAGATTTAAAAGTGTTTAATAACAGTTATTTCATCATGTAGATTGGACTGAAACAGAGCAAAGGATCATGGTCTATGTAGTTCTCTCTGTTTTTAGTTGTTGTTGCACCATAACAATGAATTTAAACAAACAAACTTGTAATTGGATATAGGGCTGGGCGATATGGATGGAAAAAATATATCTCGATATATTTTGCTATATCTCGATATACGATATATATCTCGATATATGTTCAAGAAAAAATAACCCCCTAAAACTGAAAACTGCAAAAACAAATCTGCCAAATTCCACAAGGTCCTTTTTTTTTAAATTGAAGTGTAAGAGGTCGGCAGTTCATATAGGAACATTTAAGATTACAAAAAAACCTAATTACATAAATAATAATTTAACTGTAAAATAAAAAAAATAATACATATTTCCTTCTTTTCATTCATAAATAAAACAACTCAACACAAGCTCATCTTTGCATTAACTCTGTTATCCAGAACCAGAACCATGAGCTCCTTCAGCAGAAGAAGCTCAGGATGTTCCTTATTTCAATAGATCCATGTTCCTCACCAGCAGAAGGAGCTCTGAGGTTTAATCCCACAATCCACTGCAGATCAAACCCAACGTTTCCAAACACTATTGTACAAGTGACACTGCAGCAGATTATTAATTAAAATCTTCTGCATAAATAAACTTTACATTGCTAAACTTTACAATAAATAAAGCATAACGAGTCTAGAGCCGCATCAGCCCGTTTGAGATAATAATGTGTTTAATGCAGTTTTGCGCACATGTGTTTACATTTTACAGAAACGAAACTTAAGCACATGGTTCATTTGCATAAACAGCACTTCTCATGCAGTTCAGCTCGTTTAGCTTCTTTCGGGCTAAAGGACACGACTCGGTGGAACATGAGGATGTGCTGCTGATGGTTTTGTCTGTAAATGGTGGAAAAGGTTCGTGGTGCTTGAAGCTTTTCACTGGCACCAACTTTCGGCGTTCACAGCGATAGTGACGAGTGAAGGAGACGCGAGCGAACAAAATCAGGGAGGTGGGGGCGCGCGGAGGCGACGAGAGAGAAGGTAAACAAGCGAAGCGGCGAAATCAGAATTGAATATAAGCATCATATCGATATATACGATATGTCAGAATTCATATCGAGTTTAAAAACTATCTCGATATATTTAAAATATCGATATATCGCCCACCCCTACTTTGACTGCCTAATCATCCCGTGTTTGCAGCGAACATTTAGTATGTGGAGCACCATCAAAGCAGGATCCCGTTTGTTAAGTGAGAGGTGCAGAAGACAAACAGGCTGAGCTCACACTTTCTTGTTTTCATGGTTTTACTGCAACATCACGTCTTGGTCGCTTTACAGTGGAAGGTGTTTCTTGGTGAACAGTTGGTGCCTTTCGATTTGGTGTTGACTTTTAAATCCGTAACCAAGGTGGAGCGAGGGATTGGGATTTTACTTTGTTGTTGCTCCACATATAAAATGTTCACTGCAAACTCGGGATGATTAGGCAGTCAAAGGTTTCCTTTTCGTCTTTCCTGTGGATCAATACTGCCCATCGCATTCGTGATGCATCTATTTCTTCATGTTGTCTGCGCTGAAATGAATCATGGGATATGTAGTTCTCGATGTTTAGCTTTTGTTACTATACAAAAGCAAAGAAAAGCAAAGGAACTTATAATTCGATATATTGTGACAGTCCACGATATTATTGTGAGACTTTTGACAATACGATATCACATCATTTCAGTTATTGTTATATCCCTCAAGTACTAGTCTATCAAACTTGAGAATTTGCTAACGTGGCAGAAGTACTCTTGTGTATCTTAACTATTGTTTTGTTTCTTGTGACATTTTGAGCAAGACTTTCCACATTATTTTAGAAGTTTTGCAAGGAAATTGCTGCTAAAAAATTCTTGAATCTGGACAAAAGCTTTCTTTACTCTGAAAATTGTCCGGACTTGAATTTTTGTTTTGCTGTAGATCTTACCTGGATGACTGAGGGATCACCCAGAAATACAGGGGAAAAATAAATATTGCTTTCATGTTTTTTTGTGTGACTTTTTTATAGTTCAGTTCTTATACCAATTTTCAATATATAGCTTTAAGTATTGCCAATATCTGATATCGGCCGATACGAGTGAGAGAACTAACCCTAATGTGATGTGTGGTATTTAATCCAGAAGTACCTACAGAAAAAACTTTGTATTAATAAAAGTTCAAACGTTCTGACACTTTCTGGGACTATGACCAATAAATCGTCAAATTACATTGATTTATTGGCACAGAGGTTAAGACTTCAGGCTCTTGTAATGGGGCTTTCCTAGTCAAATAAAGTATAAATCCTTAAAAATTTCTAAAAAACTGTCCTGGAGCATTGGATACAGATGTTTGTTTTTGTTTTTACCAGATTCTACATCTATAATTCACTCTCCTCTTTTCCACAGGAGCTGAAGGGCGGAGTCTGGTCTGTGCGAAGACATCTGCTCCTCCAAAGACTGAGGCCGGGTCTACCTTTCCTACCTCCTCACCCGCCTCCTATCTCCTCGCTCGAGTCCTATCTCCTCACTCGTCTCCTCGCCTGTGACCTCTGATCCAAAATGGCATCCAAGCTGAACCCAAACGTCCTGTACGTGGAAGGACAGGGCGAGTCTTTGGGGTCTCCTCAGGCTGAATCCGAGCGCACTCATATCGTAAGTAAACAGATAAAGGAACTCTATTTAAGATTTAGATTTTACGTTTTCAAGGTGCATTGTGTAACTTTTCTGGTGGAGGTTCAGTCAAATGCTTTTCTCCATGGAGATGTTATTGTTTTGTCTGGAATGTTTCCCAGTATTGTATAGATGCATCAAGAATTTTGCTTTGATGGTGCTCCACATACAAAATGTTCACTGCAAACTCGGGATGATTTAGGCAGTCAAAGGTTTCCTTTTTCGGCGTTCCTGCGTATCAATCCTGCCCATCACCTTCGCTTTTCACAATTTTTCAATTCCATTGGGAAGGGAAACAGTTTGAACAGAGGTTTGCAGTCACACACATCTGATTCCCTTTTGCATTTATGGAGTTCGCAAACAAATTTCTCGAGATGTTTTCTGCTGTTAGGACATCCAACAACCACACAATTAAGAAGTCCGAATCCCAAAACTAAAATACGACAAAATCAGAACCTGAAACAAAATCGATATGGTTCAAAAGACTAGAAAAGACTGACTTTGTCAATAGACGCATCCCACTGGGAAAACAAACATGGCACTTTGATGCTCACTTTTTCGGAAAATTCTTCCCAATATGCATTGCGCAATGACCGGAAGTACAAAATTCTTGATGCAGCTATTGAATCTAACTATCTTAAAGCAGACCAAACCAGCCCCAGTTACAGGTCAGATCTGTGGAGAGGCAACCCCGCTCACAGTCAGAATGTCTGTTTTTCTAGAAAGGATGTAACGATATCCAAATCTCTTGGTATGATATGTTCACAATTGATGGTTCTGTCATGATCCAATGATTTCCTAAGATTTCAAAGAGGTTAATAACAGTTTTTTTTTTTTTATGTAGTCTGCACTGAAACAGAGCAAGGGATCATGGTCTATGTAGTTCAGGTGTTTTTAGATCACGGTGCACCATAACAATGAATTCAAGCACAGATACGATATTATTGAGAGACTTTTGACGATGCAATATTACGATATTTTGGTTATTGTTACATCCCTATTTTCTAGGATTTTTTTAGCTATAAAACCTGCTGAAATTGAATCAATTTGAAGAAGAAAATTTTAAGTTTAATGTCATAGTGTGAAAAAGGTACATAGTGCACCTCTAAATTCCATAAACCTGATCTGATCTGTGTACCCTGATGTTTAAATCAAATATAGAATTGACTATATATATAATTATAGAATTACTAACTATTCTAACGGTGAATTATTCTTAATTACAAAACATTGGACCTGATATATTATTCATTTATGTTATAATCTGGTGTTTTGGTTGAAAATGATTATCCAGTCAGAAAGCAGAATGAGCCTTACATGAGTCTCTCATTTGGCCAGTTTCAATGGTGAAATCCAGTTTGTTTAACCTTAAATGTCTCTCTGATCTGATTGGTCACTACCTAAATCCTAGCACTCATAGTAATCATGATTCAGTGCTAGTGCAGCCTCTGAATTCTGGAGGTTCTGAGTTTTCACATGAGGCCTGTCCATATACTGAGAATGAGACAAACTTGGATGTGTCCTCCATCTGCAGGTTAAAGCTCTAGTAACACAGGCTCAGTTGTGATTCTAGTTACTTTGTTATAACTGTAAGAGCGTAGGCAACTTCCGTTTTTATATTTGCAGCTACTACTGTCATCACTCCACTAAACAAAAGTCTGATTGTCACTTTATTAATTTGTTTAACAATGGAATGAATAAGTGTGACCGAAGCCAATAATACTCCTGTGAGTTTCATATGTAACCGGATATTACTAAAATAAGAGCCGATTATGAAGTGCAGGTTTCACTTCTGAGAAAAAGTGAACACTGAGCCGATCTGGTTTTACCACGAGAGTCTAGACCGCACGAAACCCTGGCTATTCTGAGCTCAGAGTGACGCCCGTTTTGAGCGCGCTCGGTAGAGGCGTCTATCACGCAGGAAGTGCTATCGCAGCTTCACCAGAACCAAACTGAAACACTGTAAAACTCCACAATCACTTCATCAATGAGCAGAGTTTGTTTGTTTCTTGCTTTTATACCAAAGTAAAGGTGCAATATGTATCTTTTCTAGTGGAGGGCGTCTGGCATCTATTTGTCTCCATGGTGATGTTAATTCTTTGTCAGGAATGTTCATTACAGAATATTTTTAAAAGTTCCATATTAGGATATTTTCTGATCTATGTTATAATCTCGTTTCCTCATTTCAAACAGATCTGGAGTTGTGTTTTTTTTCATTCACACATTTTTAACAAACAAATTCTCCATATTTAGGCTGAGTTCTTCTCTCAAACTGACTCTGTTCCTTGTGATGTCATGTGGTAATACAGGAAGTGCTCCACTGTGTTTTTAAACTCCAGACACCTTCACTAGAATCATCTGGATAATTTCAGCACTGGAATTGCCCATTTTTACTGAACTAAAGTTAAACTACAACCACATGACATCACAAGCCGGAACAGAACATTTTGAGCTTTAGAGATAAAAGATGACTCAAACATGTGTGAATGAAACAAAACACAACTCCAGGTCTGTTTTTGAGGAGGGAACAACATAATGTGACTTAAAGCTCACAAAAGTCAATTTTGCGTAATATAGGACCTTTGGAATAATTGTCCAGAAGAGCTTAAATCATGCACCACTTTCTTCCACTTTAAAAAAGAAGTTTAAATGTTTAACTCTGGGCAGATAGATAGATGAATTATGATACTTAATTTTTATTCATTTTTCCCATAGATTTTTCATCTTCATAACTCATTCGTTTATTCATTTGTAACTTTTTGGTTGGGTGTCCGTGACCTGCTCGTTTCTATGGATATGTCATTGCTCTGCCTGGAATGTTCCACAGTATGACATTAAACTGCTCTACCTTATATTTATTCAATTACAGGTGGATTTACAGCTCAAAAATACCGAGAAAAACAAACATTCTGTGAGCAGGGTCGCCTCTCCACAGACCTGACCTGTAACTTTATCTGGTTTGGTCTCCATGAAAACAGAGAGACATTCCGGACAAAGCAATAACATCTCCATGGAGAAAAGCATTTGACGGACCCTCCACCAGAAAAGTTACACAATGCACCTTTAAAACACGGGATACTGCATAATGCTTTAATAACTTAGCTGTTTATAAAGTTTCAGAAACAAATGTTAAATAAAATTATAGGTCTGGTGTTCATTAGTTTTCTGGTGGAGGGTCCGCCACCTGCTTGTCTCCATGGAGATATCACTGTTTTGCTTTGATTATTCCACAGTATAGAAATAAATTTGGTAATCACAATGGAGACAGGTTAATGGTCAGCTCTATGGAGATGCAAGCCTGCACAGGTTTTTGAGGTATTTTTGAGCGATAAACCACTTGCAATTGAACAAATGCAAGGGAGATATGTTTAATGCCCTACTGTGGAACATTCCAAGCAAAGAAATAACATCTCCATGGGGACAAGTAAGTAACGAACCCTCCGTCTTAGAAGTTGCGTAGCGCACCTTTAACATGTAGCTGATCATCCTTGAGCAGGCTTTCGAACTTTTTATTTATATGTTCATTTATTTATTTATTTTTTTATTTTCAGAAAGTTTATGGGAAAAAAATGTGAGAAATTTCGTTCAGGAAGTGTGGAGTGGGCGATCACTGTCGAGCTCCATAACTTTGATGCTCTGTTACTGTTTCGTTCCTTCCTTTTGCGATCGTTATGATTAAGAATGATGCCTCACCTACACCTTTTCACTCTTTCTGCATTTAAATACTACTGTTTCTGGATAATGTCAGAATACACCTGTGACGAATACACGAATGAGTAAAAAATATTCCACAGTATGGCATTAAATTTACCTAGTTGGTTATATATCATCTATGAGTGTGTTTTGCTGAAGAAAAAACAAAAAAAAAACTTGAAACACATACATTCTTACTGTAAGCTGGCTCGCCTCTCCACAGATCTAAACTTTAACTTGGCCTTGTTGGCATCACCTGCTTGTCTCCTTGTCTCCATACCTGGCAAAGCAGTAGCATCTCCGTGGAGACAAGCAAATGGCAGACCTCCCAGCAGAAAAGTAACACAATGCAGCTTTAAGCCGGCTTTGCAGAGATCTAGACAGATCTCTTTGGCTTTTCGTGGGTTTCTGCTTCTTGTTTTGTTGGTGGTTTTCAGATTTTAGAATTTGATTACCAGTGTTGTGAAATAACTACTGAGAATACTAATTCTGAGTACAGTTCCTTCTTCATTTGGTGTTATGCAGAATGCAATCACATTTATAGAAGGAATACACAGTGGTACTTCATCACACAATTTAGGCTTCAAACTGCACTTTATTGGAGAGGAAAATACATAACACAAGTCAAGTGGTGCGTGCATGTGTGATTTCTCCTTTTCTAATCACTGATAGGAAATGCAGAACAAACTGTGAAGCAAACAGTAAAGCTTTTTTTAATTCTGTGTTTTGTCTTTACACTTTTATGACACAATGTAAAAGTATTCTAAGTATTCAGAACACAGTACTCTGATTGGGCCATGTTTTAGAGTATTCAGGTATTCAGTATTCTGTAACTAAATACATTTTCAAAGTATTCTTCCTATCACTCGCGATGATGTCATAGTCCCAGATGAGGACAAGAGACAGATTTTCCCTATTGATTACAATGTACTTTACCATGAAATATCCAAAAGGTAAATTCACAAATGTGGACCTTCGACCCAAGACTCACTATCTGCATTTTAACAATATTCATTTTAGCTGCAACAGCAATAGTGCCAGTTTTAAAGTTTGTTTTTGTATTAATCATTGCTGTGACAACGCTGTGCAAACTTTTCATCACTCAGTCTGTAAATTCTACAAGTTAAAGTGATTTTTCTTTGTTTGAGGGCGGAGAAGGAGCAGAGGAGTCCTCAGACAGCGATGGAGAACAAGAGGAGACGTCTCACAAACTCATCCGCAAAGTGTCCACGTCGGGACAGATCCGAGCCAAGGTACCACCACACCTCGCCTTTAAAACACGCTTCGGTTTTCTGTATTCTTTTTTATTTTATTCCATAATTTCTGCTATTTTGTCATGGTGCGTTGGTCTGGTCTATACATACATTAACATTTGGTGGGCAGTGGCGGAGTTAGCAATTTGGGGGCCCTAGGAGAACTTGAGTTTGGGGTCCTCACTATAATGCACAGTTTTTTTGTTTTGTTTTGTTTTTAAAAAATATATATTTATTGTCTGTTTTTCTCCATTGTTCTTGAGACATGCACATCTCTATTTATTTGAATTATGGTGGATTGGAAACTTGTCTTACTAGTTTGGTCGTTTAGTAGATAACCAGAACTGAAAGTAGTTTTGTTTTTTTGCTAGTACAGTTACATTTTTGTTTACATCCATTACATATGATTATTATTATTTTTCTTATGATTATTGTTTAAAGTAAATTACTCTCATTTAATGTCATATTGAGACTACAATGGGGGAAATTGGTTGGGGGCCCCTCCAGGTTTGGGGGGCCCTAAGCAGCTGCCTACGTTTGCCTAATGGTAACACCGCCTCTGTTGGTGGGTAGATTTCGAAAAGTTGAGTGTAAAATTTAACCTGATTCTTTGCTGTAACATCATGCTTGGGGTGTGCTACATGTATTTATATTGGTGGAATGTTCAGCTGTTATCATGGAGACACAACTTTAGCAAACACTGAGATTAAAGTTTAAGATGTTTCTATTGATTACATTGATTACTTTGTACCATTGAGACAGAATGCACCTGTTGGCAAACACTGTCAAAAAAGTTTTAAGATCATCAGAAAACTGAAGGAAAAACTACAACATTGATTTAAAGAGCACATTTTCAGGAGCCTGTCATCAGTCCGAGCGTTCATGGTCCTGTTTAGGAGTTTGATTTTCACAAAAAGGTGAGAGTGACTCACTGAAAAACTGTTGGCTAATGGAACTGTAATGTTATGTGTGATTCCCATTTTCTGAGCTGAAAACTGCAGCTTTCCCTGGCGTCCTTAAATGAAGCCTCGATCAATGAACACTCAGGGATCTGGGCAACCCCTGTCGCCACGGAGACGGCATCCCATAACGCCCCATATTTGTTCCTGTTGTAGATAAAGGCCTCAGATATCAGCATAGTATTGATTATGAAACGTCTGCGTCACAAACACACCCAATGAGAGCTTCAGAGAGTGAGCTCAGAGCCAAACGAGAGGCTCATGATGAGGATGAGAGCTGTTTCCTCATCACAAACAGACACATGTTTAACACACAAACCCTGCATATTTAGGCTGAGTTCTTTTCTCTGTTCCACCTTGTGATGTCATTAGGACTGCTTGTTTATGTAAAAAATCATTACTACGATTATTTTAGTTAATACTGATATCATGATTATTCAGACATTTATTTTGTTAGTTACACAATGTATTTATTCAGCAATTCTCTCAAAAAAACCAACCCTAAAACACTTTACTGATAATTTATGCAAAACTTTCAAATTGAAAATAAATATAGGTTACAAATATGTACCTTAAAACAGTTTTGGAATGTATAAAACATAAAATAAATAAAAAAATGTAAAATATAGAACATGAAATAAGGCATAGAAAAACATAAATGTATCCAATATAAACTATATATCCAGCTGTTCTCTACTTATTTATATAAAAATATCCCAAAATAACACAAACTAGAACTCACACTAGGACAGTTGTTGTGGGTTCTGTGTTCCGCACTCACACCTGCACAACTGAACTGGGCCACGGCTGATGACATCATCACACGGCGTTTGTTTGTTTACATGTTGTGCAGCAGAGCTAACGCTTTAGAGGAGAAAATAAGTCCAGCGGCAGAAATATCTATTAAATAGTGAGACAGATATGAGTCCTACTGCGATACGTTCCTCTGTCTATGGATATAATCAATACTGTAGCTCCCATTACGCACCGTACTCACAACACGTATCCTCGCAAACTACTGTCATCGCTCCCTGGTCCTCACTTTCATCGGCACATAAATCGTTTCAACACAATTATATGAGTTTGGAGATCAAATCAAAATCACAGTCAAAATTCGATTAATTGCACAGTCTTAAATGTCATGTGGTAATACAGGAAGTGTGTTTTTAAACTCCATACACCTTCACTAGAATCATTTGGATTATTTCAGCCCTGGAATTTCCAATCTCTACCGAACAAAAAATAAAAGATAAATGCTAACTTAAAAACTACCGCTTCATGACCTCACAAGGTGGAACAAAGCATTTTCAGCTTTGGAAATGTGGACAAACGAATAATAAAGGATTATTCAAACATGTGTGAATGAAACAAAACACAACTCCAGGTCTGGTTTTGAGGAGGTAACAGCACTAAACATAACTAAAACCTCACAGGAGTCAATTTGGCGTAATATCGGACCTTTAAAGTGCATATGACAGGTTTTTATGATTTTGGTTTACACAGTATTCCTTTAATATTCGCTGTGTTTTAAGATGGTAAAAGCTGCAGATGTTATAGAGCTGATGTGCCTGTTAAATTTCAAGTCTAAGACCATTTTTACCCTTAGATTTCTAACTTGATCTCATTATTAGCCTTTTTTATTCATGAGTCGTCTGGACAATTTCTGCTTTTGTTTTTTTTTGTTTTGTTTGTTTTTTAGTCACCATCTGGGAGCTATTATTAATCACATAGTATTTCACTTTCACTTTTTACACGGCACATTTTTAAATATAGTCTCCCAGAATTCCCCTTACGCTCAGTCCTGCTCTGTTCTGTCTCATTAAAAGCTTATATTAAAGGTGCTAAGTGATTTCACCCGTTTAACATCATCAGATCGTTGAGTTCTTCTCCCAAAAGTCCTGAAATAATTACAGCGATGGAGCGATGAAGAGGCCTTGTCCTTTACCCACCCGCTAGACTCATGAACGCCTTGATTAAAGGTGTAGAATTACTTATACCTTTTACTGATCCCCGGGGTGTGATGCTAACTGTAGGCTCTGCTCTGTCTGAAGCTCTGTTACCCAAGTTAGACTTTAATATGAGCTTTGTTTTAACACTATCTGATCAGAACAAGACACTACAATTTAAAAAGAACCTATATGTTTAAAAAAAACAAAAAAAACAGATTCAGATCCAAGGTTATAGAGTGAAGCGTTGCTGTGAAAGGAGTTCATTTATGGAATAGTCTTGACAAAGATATAAAAGGATAAAGTACAATGACGGCATTTAAAAAATATGAGAAAGAAAACTAAGTTGTTGTGCATAAACGTGATGATCTCTGTTTGCAATTAATTAATATTCTGATTGAAATGAAATGTAACTTTTCTGGTGGAAGGTCCGTCCAATGCCTTTCTCCATGGAGATGTTATTGCTTCGTCTGAAATGTTTCACAGTGTGACGTTAAACCTTTTTATCTTCATGGAGACCAAACCAGACCAAGTTACAGGTCAGATCTGTAGAGAGGCGACCCCGCTCACAGTCAGAATGCTTGTTTTTCTAGGTGTTTATGAGCTATAAACCGACCTGTAACTGAATAAATGTAAAATAGAGCTGTTTAATGTCATACTGTGGAACATTCCAGAGCAATGACATCTTCAGGCAGGTGATGGACCCCCAACCAAAAAGTTACATAGTGCATCTTTGAGTTTTCAGATCATCTTAAAACCTTTTCTGACAGTGCTTCCTAGGGGTGTAATGATATTCAAGTCTCACAATACGATATCGTCACGGTATGAACCTCACGGCACGATATTTATTGCGATATCGTGTAAACTCTCACGATTAGAGATGTAACAATAACCATATCTCTCTGTACAATATTTTCACAATATACATCTCACAGTACGATATTTATCGCGATATTTTATGGAGAGTAACAAAACTGTTAATATGCTTCTTTTTCTTCTTAAAATGGCAAGACTTAATCCAAAGAACTAAGATTTAAAAGTGCTTAGAACTGTTATTTCTTCTTGTAGTTTACACTGAAATGGAGCAAAGGATCATGGTCTATGTAGTTCCCTCTGCCTTTTTTTTTTAGCTATTGCTGCACCATAACTCTTAATTTAAGCAAAAAGACTTGTCCACGATATTATAGTGAGAACTTTGACGATAAGATATCACGATATTTCAGTTATTGTTACATCCCTAGTGTTTCCTAATGTGTGCACCTAACCTCCTGGGAACCAAAGAAAAAAGTGTATTTCTCTCTATTTGGAGGTAAATGAACACCTTAACATGTAGATTTTGTTAATTTTTTTTTTTTGTATTTATAATTTTGTAACATGTCCTCTGTAATGGACACCAGGGACATTTTGGCGTTAAATCCATGTGAAGTTAACATCCTATCAAAAAACAAAAACAACTTTTTTGATGAAGCTTCTACAGTCAACTCAAAAGGTTTTTAGACTCCCTTTTAATTTCTTACTTCATTTTTTATCATAGTGCAGCCACAAACTAACTCCTATTGAAGAGTGTGTCTCTAAACACTTAAAAGATCGACTAGTTATCTCAATCTCCACTATAAAGGACACAAATGAATGGGCCGGGTCTCAGGTGGTTCTAAACATTCCACCATAAACATACATGTAGAACACCCCCAGCCTGTTGTCACTTCAAAGCATCAATGTAGCTCCACATATTTACAGATGTGTGTTTTTGGGTTAGAGTGGTCTGGGGTGGTCTCGTATGGATCAGACAGAGTTCATTAGAGTTCGTTAGGCCGCTGTATTGATTGGGAAATGTATTGAGCTGTTACAGCTGCCAAAAAAGCTGTCTGCTTATAGTCTGTGGCCTCAATCACTGAAGTAGATGATTTTAAAGAGGCGATATTACGCAAAATCAATTCTTTTGAGCTTTCTACCATGTTATAACGCTGTTCCTTTGTCAAAAACATGCTTGAAGTGGTTTTAGATGTCATCCATGCATGTTTGAGTAATTTAGCGATCTCTCCCAGGCCCTATTCAAACCCTGCAGTAATATTATGTGCAAAGCTCCGCCCACAAG